TTCAATTAAATTAGTAAGAGGCGTTTAACAAGTAATAACGTTAAAATCATTTATCGATATATCAACTAGTACTTACTAAAATATTGAGATTGAGGATCACTAGTATTAACAAGATCCGCCTTGACTGTATAATCTGAAAATTATGCTCACAATTTAACTTTTGAGCAGTAATTTTTCAAATTCCAAGTTGCGAACACCATAAAATCATCTAGTATATGTATCAAATCTATTATATACAAATAATATCTAGATGATCAATTTGGAGGATGATGGATCCTCATTTATCATTCTGATTAATTTTCAGAAATATAAGAAATTCAATCTATATTTTAACTAGTGATGATCAATTTTTGATACAAAGAACAAATAACACATAGGAATCCATTGGATTAAAGAATCTTCTAGTTTTTCATTGAATGTCCATTTGAATTTTAAATTTTACATTACTATTGATACAACAATGGTCCAATTTGATATGTCCAATAATAAAATATAATAGATATCGAACTTCTGGTTCAATACCATGACTTTGTTTGATTACCTTTTTTTTCAAAATTCATTTTTCTCTCTTTTATTTTCAACCACATATTTTTCAAAAAAATAATATTACACACGTACCAAAAACTTTTCTTTCATTATTAACTACACATTCTCTATTAATCTATTATTTCAAAATGCATTCCACATAAAAAAAAAAGGAGGGGCTCAAGCAGGCTATATATTTATCGAAATGGTCACTAAGTTTAGTATGATGTACCAATTAAGAAATACTATTAGTAAGTTTATCCCTTTATATCACACAATATTAATTCTTCTAGAGTCTCGAAACAATAATCTTTAGAAATAATTATATAAATAAACTACAGTTCTTTCGAAGTAATTTAATTAAAATTACAATTTTCTAGTATCAATACAATATTTACATTAAAATATCTAAATTGTGATTCTTAAAAAATAATTACATAATATCTTTCAAAAATAATAATAAATATAAACTTGTACTTCTTTCAATGCAACACAATATTCTTCAAAAATATTGATTTGTATTAGTTTATTCAAACAATTTTGCAATATTTTTCTGGAATATTTAATGTTTGAATAGTATTTCATTCTAGATTAACAATAATATCATGCTCTTCAGGAATAATAACATTTAAGGTTTAAAGTAATAAATCATGTAATGATTTACTTTTCAAGAGTAAAATGTAATTTATGTTGTTATCATACTCTTCGAGAGCAGGTAAAATCTCACTAGAACATTAATGAAAATTATAATGTATTACTTTGAGAGCACGTTATAACCGATGCACGCATTAAATACATTAGATAATCACGTTTAAATTAGACTACTATAATGCAATGATGCAACTTGTATAAATGGGGCAAAATTCAAACCGTACAGAGATGAATGTCATAATATAATAATATATTATAACAATAAAATTGATTGTGCACCTACCTGTCAATATATTCAATTGGATGTGTCTGATTTGATGATGGGCAATCATTAATCACATGTGGTTTACTTTCTTAGAAAGAGGATGTTATGAGCAAGAGGAAGAGAGATATTTTATGTAGGCAGAAATTCATTTGCATCCTTTTATCTTAGAGAACAAAAATTTATGGTCAGAGGAAGAGACATGTTATGGAGGCACAGAAAAAATAAAGATAGTTTGGTATTCATGAGATCTAGTGAAAATCGTGTTGTGGTATGAGTTAATACAAGTACGTCTACACGCAGATGGAACATTTGCATCGATAAATCGATGTGTCGAAGTAGCTCATGGATGGTTTCCCATCACTATTTTTTGACGATCGTAGAGGCATAGTCGAAGAGGACTTGACGATGATTACATTTTTACTCCCTTGAATCTCGATTTGTGTAATATTAATTTAGGCAAGAACTATTATGGATCGTCTATTTTTGACCCTGAAATTGACGAGAATGTTCAAGAAGATTATACTAAGGAAAAGATTGTGATTATGGATATTGGTGATGTACCTATGTCAAAACTACTAGTTTCTAGTATTGCAATTGTAGATAATTTCACAACTGAGTGAATATTAGAATTGAGAATGAGCAGCAGCAGTCATTGTTGAATAATTTGGTGATTTAATGGCAGTTGTGATTTTAATGCCATTAAATCATCAAATTTGTTTAAGTTATCAAATTAACACTTCTATTATTGAGATGAAAATTAATTTTTATATATTTGTTGTCAAGAACATTTAATTCCTCGTTTTGCTTAATAGAAGATTTCTTTAGATGAGTTTTCCTAAAATATTTCTTTGTTTAGAGTAGTAAGTTAGGAATCTTGTTTTCATTTAAATTCTAGAATTAGGGTTCCAAGTAATTGGGGATTTTTGTGAAAGATATTAAGTTAGGAATCTTGTTTTCATTTAAATAATTTTTCCAAATTTTAGGTATTAATTATTTACGAATTAACGAGCTTTTGAAATAATCATCATTTCGTATATTATGCTGCGTCAAGATTTCAATAATAACTACGAACCTAATCTTATGTTCTATATATTAGAATGCAAGATTCAAGAGAACATTTCTATCAATTGACTATATTGATCAAACTCCACAAGATTTAAATCTTTCACTTAAGAAACAATTAAAACTGTATGAAATAAATTAAATATTTAATTAATGCATATTGCATTAAAGAAAGGTATGGCATCTTGAATTAATGTGATTAAAAAAATATGTTTCACAAGTGGATAATTAATTAATTATCTAATTTGATTAAAGTTTTTCTAAAAATCCAAATAAATAATTATATCATGATTGAGTCATTGGGTAATTTCTACGTTGTTTTATTATTATTATTATTATTATTATTATTATTATTATTATTATTATTATTATTATTATTATTATTATCTGTAAGTAGTCGTAATCCAGTCACTTTACTTGTTGTTGTTGTTATTATTATTATTATTATCATCATCTGTAAGTAGTCGTAATCCAGTCACTTTATTAAAGCCAATCTTATATATACACTTTTCATGGCTAAAGGCGAAGTTTCAAAATTGTTTTTGCTTTTGCTTTTACTTTTACTTTTGCCAATTAGGAGATGTGATGCTTTCAATATAAATTCCCTTAATGCAATTAGTTAACACACACGCACACACACAAATTTTTTGAGTGAAAAATATTTCTTGTACATAACTATTTATCTAATGTTTTATATAATGAGGATATGTCAAAATGTAAGTGTTGATGTTATTTGATAGATGAGATTTTAATCCAATTAAATCTCACCACATAATTTGTTTGTAAATTATTATGTACATATCACACAATCCGTTTTTGAGTTTATAGACTATAGAAAGTTATTAAATGAAGTGATATCTTCTTCGATTTCCACACATCAAATCTTTCGAGTCTTTTAATAATAGAAAAAAGACTCGTTTGGGGGCAAAGTCCTTTTCGATCCACGCCAAGATATTAGTTGTTGTTATAGGTAAAGATTCGTAGAATCGGAATGAAATTAAATCTCTCCTCTCTTAAAAAAATTAAAGAAACGCTCTTTGAAGGTCTCTTCTACTTGTGATGGTTATGGGATTAGCTCTTCGAAGAGAGTTTTAACTTTCGACTACTACGTCAGTTTATTACTAAAAACACGTTCGATTCGACAATATTTCAGCATATTTTTCAATTTTAATATTCTCTTTGATCCTTTTCACCAAACATGTCGTGAAGTGTTTGGTATGATAAAACTCGTCTATTTTAATTAGTCTCACAATCAATCAAAGCTCAGATCCATTTTAGAGGTAATTAGAGCAACATGAAATAGTCAACCATTGACAAAATAATTGGATCAAAATAAGTTTTCTTTTTAATCTGTCTCTCCCACGTTCTAAATTAATACAGCAACAACTTCACTCTAACATGATCTTAAATTGTCAATTTGAACTCTCTGTTTATTTAATAGGAAAAGCGAAAACTATTAGCTTAAACAAATGTACGATTGTAATGAAAGTCTCTATTCACGGACTTGACTCGAACCCTCTCACTACTCACGAACAAGTAATTGCTCAAATAATAATAAATAAATGTTCAGTTAATGTGATTACCCAATCGTATACTTTCATTAACAGAAAAGACACATATAGTGACGGAAATTTAACAATGGTTCGCTCTCTGAATTTTTAATAGAATTCACAAGTATTTTAGACGAAGAATATATTTAGAATCTATCCATATCAAAATTACTGATGGATTTAGCGACGACAATCCATGAGCACTTCACCTACAGGTTTCTTGGTGTTTTTTCGATCGATGTAACATATCATTCACAAAGGTTTGGCTTTAACGACAAATAAATTCATCTCTATGTTAGGAAATGGGTAAATAAAACTTGGACCTCGAAAAGTTTTATGTGAGAGTCCATACGAATGCTGAGTCGTAAAAATTACCCAAACCCCTCAAATACAAGAAATTTAACTACTCTAAACTGAGAACTTTCATTACAAGTACAAAAAATAAAAATCAAAATAAAAATAGCCAACATATATGACATTGAAAAACTTGTAATTAATCTTCATTATTGCAGTTGTCGGCATCTGCATTCAATTTCCTATCCATATTATTTTGGGTTCATCAATGGAAGCTAATATTTTCAACCAGAAAAACCCGGTGGTACTTGGAATGAATCTACTCGTAACAAATTATCTCTATATCTAGTAAATTCTGCTATGACATGCTAAGTTGGCAAATTTTATATATTGTACTTCGATTCTAGATACATTAAGACTTGAGATTCCATCTTGAAAGGTTAAAAAGATTAGTATACAACATAATTTACTTTTTACGGCGCATAGCTGTGTGCCGTATAAAGTAATGTCGTGAATACTCACCTCTTCTTATGGAATGTTGAATTATGTAACAATAATGAAAGCGCCATTATGCAAATTATTTCGCCCTTCATATGCACGCCGTAGTGGTCAAAATTCCCTTATATTATTTTTATGCAAATTCAGATGCTGAAATGGGAAAACACTGGCTTTCCAATGTGGCTGGAGAATTAGCACTGTTAGCAGGATTAGTCCTATGGGCTACAAAATTTCCTCGAACAAGGTGAAAGATTTTTGAGCTTTTTTTAAACACTGATCACTTATACATCGTCTATGTTCTTCATACTTCATGTTGGCATTGGCTATGCCTTCATTATGCTTCCTGGTTTCTACTTTTTATGGAGGACAGATACATCAATTCTTGCAATCCCGAAAAGAGGCGTTGGACTCATCTCTGAGAGGTTTTTGCCGTGTGAAAATGTCAAGCTAAACTTCTCCAAGAGCCGAAGTGTAGTATTACATTCTTTTGGCTTCCTCGGAAGCGTAGACGGTAATACACTTTACCATTTTGTATTTGCTTGTTCGGTAAACTAGATACAACAACGCTAACAGCATTATGAATGAAAAATAAGCTAAAATCTTTGTGATAGTCATTTGAAGATCCTAGAAGGAGTAATAAAGTGATAGTTAAAATCCACAATTGGCGGCATGTCTTTCATGCTAGATGGAGTCTTGTTTTGTTCAGTCCGGTCCATTAGTCCTTTTGGCTTCTTAGATGGTATAGACCTACAATACTGGACAATATTAAAGAAGAAAAAGAAGTTAAAATTTTAGTTAGGCCCTGTCCGGGAGCAATTTTTTGCCGGTTTTGTAACTAAAAAGTTCCGTTAAATTCAACACGGGTCCCACCAAGGTGAGGAGGGAGTCAACAAGTGCGGCTCCAACGGTTTAAAAAATGATTAAAATCTTGAGGAAAATTGGAAACAGACAGCCCCTTATTGTTTTGTTGTGTCCCATCCAGTGCAGTTTAGCTAAGATGTTTGTCGTGTTATTGATCGACCTATCATATTTTTTACAGGGATGATTTATTGGTGTTGGTGAGCGGAGGCAGTGGCATAACTCCGTTTATCTCTATTGTTTATGAGATCATTTATGCGAACGAGATATTGAAATGCAAAATTCAGCACAAGAAAAGAAGAGTATGCGGACAGTATGGTTTAAGCCTAATCCATCTGATGCACCGATAACTCCAATTTTGGCGGAAACAACTGGCTCAGGCTCAGATCAATAATCTCGATGTCTTTCATCATATAAATAATATTCATTGGAATTTTAACTCAGTACTACATATACGTCCATTGATCATCAAAATCAACTCTTCTTCCTCGAGAGCTGTCTTGAACATAGTATTCATCGGTATCTGCATTTTTATCAGGTTGACGGCAACTTTTCTATGAAGCAAAAGAAAAAATGCAAAGGAACAACACAAATTCTGAACATGGAAGGCGCACCTCCTGTGGCCTCACCAAATTCATGGCTCTATAAAGCAGATAGAGAACTAGAGAGTTTACCTCAACAGTCTCTTCTTCAATCTATCAACTTGAACTATCGTGAAAGGCTCGACATCAAGACTAAGTTATTTTCTTTTAGTTCCCATGCGGGGTTGGAATTGTTGGCCTAGTCGAAGATATAAACATAAATTACTATAGTATTCCGATCCTTCTATTACATTAGTTTAAGGTTTTAGATGAGGTAGTCATTTAATATAGTATGAGAGTGGACGAAGCCTGCACTCAACTACACTGACAGCCATATACAAAAACTTCATGTGCCATATACTCAACACACACATGAAGTGGTTAAGGGTAATATTCTATATCGATTAAAGATAAAATAAATAAATAACACATAAGGACTTGGACTACTTCTCTTAATAAGGTCGACTTTTAAAATAATACACTGGAATATATGTGGAGACTTACTAGTGTTTTTTTTTATTTGTCAAATTCACTGTAAAGTTTGCTTTGTCTTGCACGAATTTTCTGTTCAAGTGCAAAGAATCGAGTGTTCGAGTTCTTGCCTGTGGAACGAAGAACAAATTTGTTCATTGAGTTTGGCAGCTAACTTGCATTTCGAATCCCACAGCTTCAGTTGGTGATTTTAAGCATTTCCTACATAGAAATGTCTTGAATCAATGTTTTTATTTCAATTTTCATAAAAATTTTCTCATCATCTGATAGTTTATCTTTGCAAGTATATCATCAAGTGGAAAGATTAATAATCTGACTTTTATGTAAAAATGAAAAGATTTCTCTTAGTATTTAACTTACTTCAAGACTACCTACCTTAAGTCTGATAGAGAAACAAAAAGAGATAAGCTTAGAAAAAGGTTACTTTCAAGTAAAAATAGAAAGGGCATTTTTTCATAAGTAAAAAAGTTTCTTTTTACAAGTAACTCTACTTTTGCCAAATATGATCAAAGTTCTAAAACTAATTATAACAACCATACCACAGCCAGAACACAACAATTTAACTGTAATTCTATCAATTTGATCTACTCTATTACCAACTATATCAAGCGTTCAAAGCATTTTTATGAAATCTACTCTAAACGCAAGGTGTCACTCCTAATGGGGGCTCGACCCAGTAACATCTTGTCGACTAACTCAATAAACAATACTCAATTGACGTTTAAGTTAAAACCCAATTAAGTTCTCTCGCCTCACCTAAATATCATGTAACTATCGACATTTCAAACACAAACCAAATTCGCGCAACTTATTTACCATAGAACTCACATAAAATCATAATTTTTCTTTTTTTTTTTGATAGAGGCTGTTGGGTTTTTTGATACCCAATAAATTCGGGCGATGATGTTAAACCCTTTTTAGTTTGGATTATATTTCATAGGCCTCGGCCGATGATTGAATTTGTATATCGACACCACAATTGTCTGAACCTATCACGTAATCCACTAGGGCCATTTAAAGCAGCCTAATTAAATTAGTGCTGCTCATGGCCCAAACCAAGACCTGGATGACTTTTTCGGTTTGCTAGCACACTTACATATTTCCTATTGGGCCCTACCTTTTCTAATCTAAAGCCCATACCTAATTTTCCTTCATATTTACCGCCCCATTATTGTTGATGGGCGTGTGAACTTGTCGTAGACGTGTGTTTGAGAGAAAGGCAGCGTCCTTGGCTTTGTGCTTCCTTCATTGGCTTTGTGCCGTTTGTGATCTGTCCCTCTCCCCCTTTTTCTTAGCCTTTGTGGCTGATTATTTTAGGCTACCATCTTCTTCACACTGAGCTCTTTGAGGGCAAACCATAGCAACTGGTTGGGAGTATTAGGTTTGGGATTGGGTTGTCAAATTGTGGTGTCGATTGGTGAAACTGAGCCCGGTTCTCTTGGTGTTTGGAGTCCATTATTCAACAGAGGCCTTGATTGCCTTATAAGTATATATGCTCAGAGAGTTGAAAAATCTTGTAAAGTGTTTTCCTAATAACCAAGTATGCAATAATAAGTCAAGATGTATCTAGATGTTTCTGTGCAGTTGTTGGAGTAAGTCCACTTCATGAATTAGCAATATCATTTACCAAATCACTATCTTTAAGAAATTGCTCCCTAACAACCGGAATTCTATGATGCTTCTATGTGGCCACAAGGTAGTTTCGAAATGATCTAAAAGGTCGAGTCTAGGCATGTAACGTGAAAAAGGCGCCTTGCATATGAAGAGATTAGATTGATAAATTATGATTTAACCTTTACAAATAAATATAACTATTAAATTTTAATTTACAAATAATTGTCCATTATCATATAGTCAAATACCAATAGTTACCCTAATTTCATAACTCCATTACCAATTGTTAGAAAATACGGGTTGTCATATGAGATGACCTGATCCACAAGTTATTTAAAGGGTTGGAGGAAGTTTGAATTGGAGGAAGTTTGAATTTGAAATTCAAACATACAACTCTGAAACCACCCTTAACTCCCTATAACTTCCAATGATTGTGCATTGGAAAAAGAGGGAGAAGGATGGCATGAAAAATGAAGGAAAAATTCGTATGGAAATTTACACCAAAATTTGAAAGTCCTTAGAACCATAATTTTGGACATGAAATCTCACAAAAATTGGCACTTAGATTGTGGATAATAATCTCCTTCCATTGTGATCGGGATTAAGACAATTGGAGAACAAGAAATGCAGATTTTGGAGCTTTGGAATGAAAGGTTATTCAACCATCAAAAGATTTTGGAATTCATCATTTCAAGTAAGTTTCTTGACCTGAAATTCATGTTAAAAAATGCTTCAAATTCTTACATTGGTATCAGAGCCGTAAAAGTTGTTTCTGTTGCATACTATCTTGTTGTAAATGGAATTATTATGTTGAAAAATACATGTATACCATTTCTGTTGAAACGTTAAGCATTATTAATGACATGTCATGAAATATGCAACATAAATTCACGAATTTTGCAGCATATTCGTTATATGATGTAGATCATACCTGCAAAGTTTGAAAATTTTTGATTTTATAAATTTGGAGAAAAACGAAACCCTAGATAAAATTGTAGAAACTTTAAATATTCAGTGCATGTATGGTTAGAAAAATCTTCTAGAATGAAGTTATAAAATGAAAAGTTATGAGGTTTCGAAGTTTTGGATGAAAATCAGAATTTTTGCATTAAATCGGTAAAATTCAAAACTTAATCACATGATAACTTCTTCCACACTATGTTTTCATGATTCCCACTTGTTATGGATTGATAGATCTTCCGGATACCTTTCCAATGGTATAAAGAACATAATTTTTGGCCTTAAAGTGAAGAAGTTATGACCTTCCGATGTTTTGACAAAAATCTAAAAAAAAAAACTGCAACGTTTCTTTGACGATGAACAATAACCCAAGAAAAGAAAGGGAAAAACCTAAACTGCTGCCGTGGAGGTGAATGATTTCAAATTCAATTTTGAGATAATTGCATAGTGGTCCCTTAAATATTCCAAATGCAATTTCAAAAATTGCATTTTGGTCCCCACACTTTTGAATGTTAATTATTCCAAGTGCAATTTGAAAAATTGCATGTTGCATATTAGTCCAAAAATTATTTCTTGGAAGTTGATTATTCTAATAACAATTTCGAAAATTGCAACTGGATAATTGAAATATTCTTGATTTTTATGTGCAATTGAAATTAATTTTCAGAAAATCAAATTTTTTTTATTATTGAAATAAATTATAAAAAAAGTATTAAAAATATCTTTTTTGACTTAATTAAATTCCGAAAATTTTATGAAAATTAAGAATATTTGTTAAGTGATATTTTCCTAGTGGTAGTTATTTTTTTTAAGTGTTTCATTTTTTTTTTTTTTTGAAATGGAAAAAANCAATTTCGAAAATTGCATGTTGGTCTCCACACTTTTGAATGTTGATTATTCCAAATACAATTTGGAAAATTGCATGTTGCATATTGTTTCCAAAATTATTTTTTGGAAGTTGATTATTCCAATAACAATTTCGAAAATTGCAACTGGATCCTTGAAATATTCTTCATTTTTATGTGCCATTAAAATTAATTTTCAGAAAATCAAAATTTTTATTTTATTTTATTATTGAAATAAAGTATAAAAAATATCTTTTTGGACTTAATTAAATTTTGAAAATTTTATAAAAATTAAGAATATTTGTTAAGTAGTATTTTTCTAGTGAGAGTTATTTTTCTTGAAGTGTTTCATTTTTTTTTTTTTTGAAATGAAAAATACTTCGAAAGTATTTAAAATACCACATTTTATATCGTTCATGAGTTGTGTGGGTTTTGATTAAGTTATGTGATCCATTGTGACTTATTTTTCAATTTTGTGCTCAATCAGATATAGTTGATTATAGGTACACTTTTAGCATCTTTAGTGGGAATGCTAGAAAAACATGTGTTATAGAACGTGTTAAAATGTTCCGTGCTTATCGATATAAGTAAATGGATCTGAAACACGATCTAATGTGGAACACGTGAATATTTTGGGACATAAGCTTTTGGTGATAAGCAGAATATGAGAATTCTGATGTTACTTTCCATTTATTGGGACTGTGTTGCAACGGAGATTGAAATGGGATTGATGATTTGTAAAATAAAACTTAAATGATGTTAATTTTATTTTTGAATTGTAATTGAAGTTATCTTTTAGAAGAATTAATTTGTTATATCATGATACATGTCATAATTGGATAAACGTGCATATATATGCTTTTATTTCATATTATCAAATTATCTAATTGAATACATGATACCGTTAATTCGTGTATTGTTATAAATACTGAGGTCAGTAGAATTAGTGAGATTCTTACTTAGACCTATTGATTGTCTAGTTCGATGATTGGAAGATTTAGAGAAAATATCACCTAGAACTATTTAATTCACCAACTGAGTGAGAGTCCTCAAGTTAGAAGAATTAATGTAATTCTCACTTAGAACTCATGAAATTTTGCATTATGAAATTAAGTTTATGATAGTGAAATAATAGGATTGCGGACGATGATTGGGAACATAGTGAACTTTCGATTCTGTACCTAACGTTGAACTATCGTAGACGTTAATCTGTGTTAATGCAAATTGAATGTGCATAAATGGGCATTTATTGAGAATAAAATGTCTCTAAAAATCGATAGATCATGACATCA